AGAAAAAGCCAGAAGTAGCACTGGCTCAAGTGGTAGAGTGGTAGGCTTGAGCAAAAGAAGCTCAGATACAGTGCCCCAGCCCTGAGTTCAAGCCCCAGGACTGACAACAGAAAAGATTTGTGAGAGGCACTAATGGCTGACACTTGAGATCTAGAAGATTGTGTTTAGAAGGCAGCCTGGGTAAGAAAGTCCAATAATGTCTTTTCTTTTTTTTTTTTGGTCGGTCGTGGGGCTTGAACTCTGGACCTGGGTGCTGTCCCTCAGCTCTTCTGCTCAAGGCGAGCGCTCTACCACTTGAGCTACAGCACCACTTCCGGTTTTCTGGTGGTTTATTGGAGATAGGAGTCTCATGGTCTCTCCTGCCCGGGCTGGCTTTGAACTGCAATCCTCAGATCTCAGCCTCCTGAGTAGCTAGGATTACAGGCGTGAGCCACTAGCGCCCAGCAATAATGTCTATTTCTAAATGACCAGCAAACAGCCAGATGAGATGTGGCAGAGCACCAGCTGAGCAAGCAGGAGGCCTTGAGTTCAAACCTCTGTACTAGCAAAAAAAAAAGAAAGAAAGAAAAAGGAAAGGTTTGCAGCCCACTCTCCCAGTTTGAATAATGAATTCAAAATCCTTTTTCCCCCAATACCAGGGCTGGAACACAAGACCTTTTACTTTTTCAGCTTTTTTGCTGGCAACTGGTGCTCTACCACTTGAGACACAGCCTGGAGCCCTTGTGCTCATTTTTTTTTCCTTTTTAATCTCATCTCTGCACATTAAGGAAAAAAAAAAAAAAAAGAACCAGAGAAATGGGAGCCTCTAGGAATCAAGCAACTGATCTAAGGTCATCCACTAGAATGAGAAGAAACAATTCAGGATTTCTGTCAGGCAATTCTTTTTAAATTTTTTTTTATTTCTATTTATTTTTTATCTGCCGTGGGGCTTGAATGCGGGGCCTGGGCACTGTCCCTGTGCTCTTTTGCTTAAGACTAGTGCTCTTTTGAGCCACAGTGCTACTTCCAGTTTTCTGGTGGTTCTTTGGAGGTAAGATTCTCATGGAGCCAAGTGCCAGTGGCTCATGCCTGTCATCCTAGCTACTCAGGAGGCTGAGATCTGAGCATCATGGTTCAAAGCCAGCCCAGGCAGGAAAGTCTGGGAGCTACAGTGGCACTGTAGCTCAAGTGGTAGAGTGCTAGCCTTGAGCTGAATTGCTGAGGGACAGTGCCCAGGCCCAGAGTTCAAGCCCCATGACCAAAAAAACAAAGTTTCATGGCCTTTCTTGCCCAGGCTGGCTTTGAACCACAGTCTTCAGATCTCAGCCTCCTGAGTAGCTAGGATTACAGGCTTTAGCCACTGACAGCCTGCTCTGTCAGGCAATTCTTTGTTCTATTTTTGGCTATTGTCAGAGTATATTATCTAGGGTCTTCAAGAGGCTGCATCTCACTGTGTGGCTTGTCTCTCCTCCTAGGCCTGCTGCCCACCCTCCAGCCTGTGCGCTATGGCTCCAAGGCCGTAACCCGCCACTGGCGTGTCATGAACTTTCAGCGGCAGAAGCTGATGGCTGTGACTGAATATATTCCCCCCAAACCTGCCATTAACCCAAGATGCCTGCCACCTCCCCCCAGCCCTCCAAAGGAGGTAAGGACACTGGATGCATATCACTTAGTGCTGGGATGGTAAATTAAAATAATCTCGGGTGCTGATGGCTCACACCTGTAATCCTAGCTAGTTGGGAGGCTGAGATCTGAGGATCACAGTTCAAAGCCAGCCAGGGCATCAAAGTCCATGAGACTCTTCTCCAATAAACAATCAGAAAACCAGAAGTGGCACTGTAGCTCAAGTATTAGAGTGCTTAGCTTGAGCTGAAGAGCTCAGGGACAATAGCCAGGCCCTGAGTTCAAGCCCCACAACCAACCAACCAGCATAAATAAATAAATAATCTTTTGCTGGGTGTGATGGTACATGCCCGTAATCCCAGTGTTCAGGGGCTGAAGCCATATAACACCAGTTTTTTTTTTTTGTTGTTGTTGTTTGTTTGTGTGTTTGTTTTTAGATCCAGTTGTGGGGCCTGAACTCTGGGCCTGGGCGCTGTCCCTCAGCTTTTCAGCTCAAGGCTAGCACTACCACTTGAGCCACAGCGCCACTTCCGGCTTTTTTCTTTTTGCTTATATGGTGCTGAGAATTGAACCCAGGGCCTCATGCATGCAAGGCAAGTGCTCTACCACTGAGCCACCTTCCCAGCCCGATAACACCAGTTTTGAAGCCAATCTATTGTTATACAGCAAGTTTGAGGCTAGCCTGAAATATAGTGAGACCCTATCTCATACAGAAAACCAAATAAAAGACACACACACACGCACGCACACACACACACACACAAAGATTTTTTCTTCCAGTGAAGTAGGACTTCAAGCCGTAGTAACTTTATTTTATTTATTTATTTTTTGGTTCCGTTCGTGGGCCTGAACTCTGGGGCCTGGGCGCTGTCCCTCAGCTCTTCAGCTCAAGGCTAGCATTCTACCACTTGAGCCACAGTGCCACTTCCGGCTTTTTTCTTTTTGCTTATGTGGTGTTGAGGAATCAAACCCAGGGCCTCAGGCATGCAAGGCAAGTGCTCTTACCACTGAGCCACCTTCCCAGCCCCGTAGTAACTTTATTTATTTATTGTCTGTGATGGGTCTTGAACTCAGGGCTTGGGCTCTGTCCCTGAGCTCTTTTCCTCAAGTCTAGTACTCCAGGACTTTGAGGCACAGTTCCACTTGGGGATTTTGCGTGGGTAATGGAAGATAGGAGTTTCTGTTTATGTGGTACTGAGGAATCGAACCCAGGGTTTCATGCATGCTAGGCAAGCACCCTACCACTAAGCCATATTCCTAGTCCCCCCTGAGTTCTTATTTACTCAAGGCACTTTGAACCACAGTGCCACTCCCCATTTCCTGGTGCTTGGAGATAAGGGTCTCAAGGACTTTCATGCCCAGGCTAGCTTTGAACCTCGATCAGACCTCAGTCTCTCTCTCTCTTTTATTTTTTGGTCAGTCATGGGGCCTGAACTCTGAGCCTGGGCACTGTCCCTCAGCTCTTCAGCTCAAGGCTAGCACTCTACTACCTTGAGCCACAGCGCCACTTCCAGTTTTTCTGCTTATGTGGTGCTGAGGAATCGAACCCAGGGCCTCATGTTTGCAAGGCAAGCAGTCTACTGCTGAGCCACCTTCCCAGCCCAGATCTCAGCCTCTTGAGTAACTAGGATTGCAGGCCTGAGCACCAGTGCCTGGCCACTTTTTTTTTTTTTTTGGG